GGAAGAAAGGCTGTGTGGGTTGTGGAGATGCTCTTTGAAGATGTACAGTGTCTCTTTGTTTTCCTACACACTCATTCTGCAAGTTTTGTCCTTCATAGACGGCCCTTTCCTTTTCTCAGCCAAGTGCAGAAGTGTTGCCTTGAAACACTTATTCACTTCCTTTCCACTGGGATGGGTGTGCAATCTCTACAACATGGGACGGCTTTAAAGCACTTGGGCTGCTGTAGGGCACAGAAACTATACCGGTTCTTCAAAGGACATCTTCTCAGGCCACTTCTATAGTGTCAAGACAAGTAGAGCTCCTTCCCTCCCCACTTTAAACCCACAGTCATGAAACAGGCCTTGGTACTCAATAGAGTTAATTCTTGTCATCTTTTTTGTCATCATCCTTTGAGGGGTAGGAATGCCACATCAGCCTTTCCTGATAGGATACGACATCTTGTGGGCACTTGACATCTTGGCCGGAACCAGGTCAGCCTCATCAGAGTTTTCCCATTTCATCAGGAACATCAGCTCTCCACTGGAGTCTGTAGCTCCAATAATCCGCTCTGGCTCCAAACCCTGGGCAAAGCCTCGTGGCTTTTCTGACTCTTTTTTGGTTTACCTTCCTTTCCCTTATCTTCAGAATCAGAGTCAGCTTTGTGTTTGCCTCCCTCTGATTTCTCTGTCTCATGAGCTGTTTTCTGTGACTGTAGAAACTCAGCAATGAGGTCAGGACAGTCCAGGTTCTCTTCTGGCTCCCACGTGTTGTCTTCATCTGAGAAACCCTTCCACTTTAGATGGTACTCCACTTTGCCCTTTACCACTTGACGTTCAAGAACCTTTTCCACCACATATTCCTCTTCTGGCACCTCTTCCACTTTGTCCTTGTTTTGTTTTTTCCCCATAGTACCTGCCAGCTTTCTGGTATGAAGGGTGATGCTGCTCAGAGCAGCGCCCAAGAGCCAGAGGGGAATTGGTGCCGTGCTACTGGAGCTTGCGTCGGGCTGGCAGGGAGCGTGGTGCCCACAAAAGCAACAAGCTGAGTGGCTTCGAAGAGAGCCCTCACTGAAGTGGCCTACCACAGGCCCGGGCCAACAGCCATCCCCTCTGCTGAACAAAAGAGCACAACTTTGCTCTCGAGCACTTTAAAAAGGTCTTGTGTAGCACATTTGCCTAATGCAATGCATTGTTTGATTTCTTGACTGCTGTTTCCATGAGTGTTGATGATTGATCTGAACAAAATGAAGTCTTTGATAACTTCAATCTTTTCTCCATTTATTTGGATATTATTTACTGGTCTAGTGGTGGGGATTTTTGTCTTCTTTACACTGAAGTGTAACCCCTACTGAAAGCTGTGGTCTTTGATCTTCATCAATAAGTATTTCAAGGCCTCTTCACTTTCAGCAAACAATGTTGCATCATCTGCATATCACTGGTTGTTAGTGAATCTTCCTCTAATCCTGATGCCACATTTTTCTTCATACAATCCAGCTTCTGGGATTATTTGCTGAACTTGCAGATTGAAACTCACACCTTTGCTAATTTTAAAACCACTCTGTTCCCTTGTTCTGTTCTGACCACTGCCTCTTGGTCTATGTACAGGTTCCTCATGAGCACAATTATGTGTCTGGAATACTCATTCTCCACAGTGTTGTCCATAGCTTATCATGGTCCACACAATCAAAAGCCTTAACATAGGCAATAGAGCACAGGTAAACATCTTTCTGGTATTCTCTGCTTTTAGCTACAATCCATGTGACATCAGCATTGATATCCTTGGTTCCTCATCCTCATCTGAATCCAGGAATAATGATAAGTAATAAACAGATAGACCAGTAGATTCAGTAAGGGTGTCATATGTTTTGAATCAGATCTACTTGGTTGTTCTCTGGCTCTGCCACTTACTGACTGAAGAGCCTATAGAGTGGCTCCCAGTTGCTAGTTCTTGAATTTGTGCCAGACCTTGGTTAAGTTCTCATCTGCCCTTAGTAAAATGGAAATGATAATAATGCTGAAAATTTCCATAAAATTACATTTATTCCATTAGAAGAATTGTTTGTGAAAACATCCCTCTACTTGGGTACTAAATGTCTTTTCTTTCATGAAATAGTAGAAATAGATATTAGTATTGCTTTCCAAAGTCTCTAACTTGGGGACAGAAAAAGCAATTCTAGGGTAAAATGAAGTTTTTACATTTTAGATGTCAGGGAACCATTGATCCAGAACAAATAGCTTAACTTTAATGGACCTGTGTTTCTTCCATTCTAAAACTGAGATAATCCTCTTCCAGGGAGTGAAGTGGCTCTTTAAAATAAGCACTGGACTGTGAACCACAAGGTTAGTGTAGTGGTTCTAGCCCACCAGCCTCTCCATAGGAGAAGATGAAATTTTCTGCTCCCACAAATATTTACAGTCTTAGAATCCCTATATGGGTTGTTGTGAGTTGGAACTGACCCAGCAGCACACAACAACAACTGAAGGAGTCTATGTCTAGGGTCAGATAGTAATTATATTCATTCTGCTTTGCTGTAGCAGTCATCGAAGGTATGTAAATGCGTTGGCATGGTTTTATTTGTTTGGACCAGCAGACCAACTTTGACCCCAGAATATAGTTTGCCAGCCTTTGATATGTAAAAAGTCTACAGAACAGGCAATCACCTGGTTCCACAGCAGCGCCCCCACTTAGATCTACACCTTCTAGAAATCACACAGTGGTCAAAAGGAAGCCTTTGGATCCAGTT